AGGGGCGTAACCAGGACGGATGTTCAGGGGAGGCCGACTATAAACTAAAAAAACACCATATAAAATTTTTAAATACATAAAAAAATTAAGAGTAAATTTTATAAACACCATCTAAACAACAATTAAATTCATTGAACCAAGTGGATTGAAAACAGCGTGTATTATCTTTGTATTCTTGGCCTTAGTAATAGTTCAATTTCGGTTTATAAGGTCCAAACATCGCCAAGTACCTTGTGGTCTGATGGCATCTGATCTCCCAAAGAAGAGGTCTCTTCCCAATCAAGGATGTTGGCATTAACAAGAAAAGATACTATAATAGGTTCAGAAGAATGTTCCAAAAAAAAGGTCCAAACATCAAATACGATCGTCTAATTTCATCTCTTCTTTCTAACGCCCAGTCACCTATCTTTTTCCATTTTCTCGGATCCCGCTCAATTACCAGTGTATCAGAAACTACTTTCTCTTAGGATGAGATATCTGGAGTTCCTATTGACACATTTAACTCTTGTCTATGTTGTGTGTTGTACCAGGTTTATAAAACAAACGTTTTTGCCTTCTTGGAAGTAGATTAGTAGTCATACCCTACTAAAATTAGCAAAAAAAAAACTAAACTACGAGTATATTTTATTTTAATTCACATAATTCATACTACCTCCGTAACACATATATCTTCCCATTTAAATTTAGGTGAGATTAAGAATAGTGAAAGAGAATATATAAATTATTAAGGTATGATGGGAAGATAATAAAAGAGTGTGATGAAATGAAGGATAAATCCAAAAATGCATTTGTAATAGTGTATTATTTTCAAAATTATTGAAGATATGATGGGAAGATTTAGAAATGGAAAGATAGTGTTACAGGAAAAGGAAAGATATGAATGTTAAGGAGGGAGTGTTAAATTATTAATATTTTAAAAAATCCCGCATTCCTAATTTTCCATTTCATTCACAATTCAAAGCACACAATTACACAAACGAATTAAATGACACACTAAATCACTAATAAAAACTAAAATAACGAATAAAATACATAAATTAAATATACTAGTAAATTGTAAAAAATAGAGGAACTAACCTGAAACGAGAGAAGAAGCAAGCAGGAGCGGCATTATTGCAGAAGGGGGCGTCAGTGCGTGCGGCCTCCGGCGATGCGCGCGGCGGAGCTGGCGAGCTGCGGGCCTTCCTGCAGCGTCCGGCGATGCGAGCAGCGAGCGGTGTGGCGGTCTGTGGAGTCCTGCGGGCTGCGGGCTGCGGCGTGCGTCTAATTCATCGACCTCTGCTGCGAGCCTGCGCTTGAGGTCAATAGTCAACCCAATCCTCTTTTTTTTTCAGATTAGCTATGGACCATTTTTTTTTGCATTGGGCCAGATTTTATTTTGCACTGGGCCAATTCCAATTTTTTGGTTTTAACTATATACGTAGTACTATGGTATAATACCAAAAAAAAAAGGAAATTATCACCCAACTCCCTTCAGGTTTAACCTTCTTATCACTTAATCCCTATAGTATTAAAAATAAACAACAACCTCCCTCCCTATATTATTTGACAATGTTAACTTTAACGGTAAGGGTTAATCAGTAAAGTTACACAAATAATCGGATACCCCAATTTAAATCCATTCTTTGTATCTCAGAAAATTTCCACAAACTCTCGCTCATAGATGATCTCCGGGCGGTGCTTTTTTATGTTCCGAAGATAGAAGTGTCACAAATCTCTTACAGGTAATTCTCTTTGGTGTGCTATCCTAGCAACCATGCTTTTGGGGCTCTTACTGTTCTCTAATGTCACTTAGGTTAGAGATAATGAGTAGCGACACTTCATTTGCTAAAGGACAAAGAACAATGTTTTTTTAGGATTGATACTTTTTAATTCCAAAATTAATCTTTTCTTTTTTCAGTTTTCACGGTGAGAATGATTCTTTGTTTCATTTCTGGATGATGAGAAATTCGTAGCCTTAATTAACATTGCACTCTGGATTTTTGGTTAGCTAACAGAAAAGTAGGTCAATGAGAGCAATAGTGGCACATAAAACAGAGAATAACTAGTAGAGTCTTGAGTTGTTTAAGTTTTTTCTCTAAGAGATGGATACAAAGAGGAAAAGAAATAGAGCAGATGGTTTTTGAGTTCATAGACCAGACAATACATTGGTGAATAAGAGTGACACACAAAAGAGAATAACTAGTACATTGGATTTTTTTAAGTCTTGTTATATTTTATATATCCATCATCATTATATTGTCACGAAATACAAAAATCTAACTATGTATCTATGTTATCATTCACAATGTTTGTATTTATTAAAGTTTGACACATACATTATATTTCATATCAAATGATTGTAATAAGTTGATTTACATTTCCATTTCCTTTTAGGCATGGGTATCTTCAATGTCCAGGTTTTGTGCAATGGGAGTTTGTACCACTTTAAGAACTTGGATAGTAAGAACACTACCATGATTGATATGGTTAATGTTTTGAAAACCAAGGTGCTGAATGTGTGTTTAGATGGTAGTGAATTGTATGTTGTGTATGCAACATTTCCTTGGAATGATGAGGAGATAGAAGTTAATGACTGGCAGATACTTGTTGAGTATTTATGATGACCACGAAGCTCGGGGGTTGAAGAATGTAAACTTTGAGATTGCCTGGCTACCACTTAGTATAGAACATCCTGGTTTTCCCTTCACACGCCTCCTTCAGAATGATGTAGAGCAAGGTCCTAGAGCAGATTCAGAGACTGATGAGGAACAAGTTGAGTTTGACCACTATATTGAAGACCAATCTATTCATGGGATATGCAGCAAATACAGTGATAGAAAAAGGCACGGGATCCATGTGCAACCTTAGCTTGAAGATTGGGACCATGATCCTAATGAGCAATTTGATTGAAGCGATAATGAGGATGCTGAAATTTTCGTAAATGCAGTTACTAAGGTAGAAAAAGAAGGTTCAAAATGTGAGAGTCATTATGAAGATATTAAGCTTCCAAAAAATGCAGGGTGATGGACTTATTAGATGGTGATGATAACTCAGAATTTGAATTCGACAGTGAAGGCTATGATCTCATAGCTTCAAGGGTGCAAAGGACATATTAAGGGGAGGATGTGAGAGCCGGGTTTGTTCGGTTCCTGTTTTTACTAAATATAACAGATATCGAAGCAGATAGAAAGGATAAGCATAGAAAGAAACTCCATTGATCATGATAAGGAAATGTATCGAATAGGTAAAGTTCTTTCCAGCGTGAATATCGAAAAACACAGCTCTCAGGTGCGGCTATTCTATTCTGTCTCTCTCTCTCAAAAATTTTGCAGACCATTCACTATGCACATATTTATATGCGTAGGGTGTTTAACATACCAAACAGGGCTATTGATGGGATCTGGTCCTTATACAAAAGTGGCCCTTATAAAAAAAGAATTGGTCTTTTATAAAGATCTATAATTACTTTTCATATTTTTAAGTAGTTTCACAACATTTTTATTTTATTTTACAATTTCGTTTTAAATGTTAGTTTTTTTTTTCAATTTATATGTTTTAACCTATTTGTACTTTTTTACTTTTATTTTTTCTATTAGTTTTCATATTTTAAATTGAACAATTATTTATTCTTTTAAACTTTTATAGTTTTTATACATTTACTGTATTTTATTAACTTATTTACCTTTTAGGCGGCTTAGCAGTCAAGGTCTATTTTTGAAAAGAAATTCTTTTCGTAGTCTGTTTTAGAAAATCGGAAGGAACAAAAGTGATATTATTTTCCCTTTTTGGTCTATTTGTGAAAAAATCCCTACATTTTTTAGACAGGGGTGCTGCAATTGAGGGTTGAATACTTCAAATTTGGGGTTTTCATCCCATCCCATGGATTGCAGTTAGCCTTAGAGTGGCTATTTTGTAGTCTTATTTCATTATTTTGTCCTTTACATTTGTTTTTGCGGACTTTTTTTGTCCTTCACATATCACGACTGTTATGTACAAACCGTCATAAAGATAAAATGTATTCATTTTTTTTAAAATCTAAATTAAAAGAACCTAAGACATTAAACCTCACCCAGATCACATCTATTTCATGGCCGAGTTCTGAATAGAGCTGCACAAAAATCACCCAAATCTTGATAACTTGTCTGATCCAATCCTAGTCGGCCATTTTAATTGGGTATTTGATTGTCAAAAGTATTCATGAGTTAAATATGTATGAACCCGCACATAATGGGTAGGGTTACAGAATTAAAATCTCAAACCTGATAGTAGCTGATCCGCCTGAAAGTTTTACTATTATAACGTTGAAACATTTTGTTGGATAATTTCTGCGGAATATTTTAGACTGATGTGCTCTATCTAAGATTTTATGATATTGCGGCATTATAAACATTTACCATTTTGACTATGTGATTATTCTATACGGTAGTATATACATACATGTTTGCTTCTAAATTAATTTCCTTTACGCAAGAATGTTTCATACTATTGCCCAAAGTTTACTCTTATAAAAATTACTTGTATTTATTTGTATATTTTGGAAACAAGTTAACCGAGATTCATATTGCATTCATTAGTTGCTCACATTATCAATAGCCAACCCAAATAAATTGGGGTAACCCAAAAAAATGAGTAAAGGGTCAGTTTGGTTCTCGAAGTTGCATAAAAGGTGTCAAATAAGTCCTTATATAGAAGATTCTGTCCGGGCGTGTCATTTGAGGCGGTTCCCGGTGGAATTTCTTGATAAAATTTTTTAAGCATCTTATTCATTAAGTCTAGTTTACTCATACCAAATTTAAGCTAAAAAATCAATCGGGAAGACATTCAAATGAATTCTTGAAAAAAACTGTGCTTTTAATTGCACAGTTATCTTCAAAAATTCATTTGAATGTCTTTCCGATTGAATTTTTATCTGAAATTTGGTATGCGTGAAATAGACTCGATGAATAAGATGTTCAAAAAATTTCATCAAACAATTCCACCGGGAACCGCCCCAAATGACGACGGCCGGATAGAACCTATATAAGTACTTATTTTACCCTTTACTCCAAAAAATACCAAACTCTACCCAACTCGGGCATGTCTGATCGTTCTCCTCGTCTTCTTTCTCTGCGCACAAAACCCTTCTCACTGCTGCAATTATCAAATACTCCTTCATCCGCCGCTGCGATTAAAGTACCGGGTTCGGTTTTTTTTTGGTTTTTTTTTTTTTTTGAAAAAAACTTCTTCATCCGCCGCTGCGATTATCTAAGTACCAGGTTCAGATTATTTTTTTTGGCGAAAATCTCTTTCATCCGCTGCTGCGATTATCCGAGTACCAGGTTCGGATTATTCTTTGGAGAAAATCTCCTTCATCCCCTTCTGCGATTATCCAGAGTACCAAGTTCGGATTTTGGGCGAAAATCTCCTAACCGGGTGATAGTGTGAATCGGATTTCCATGTACTTCTAGCAGCTCCATCTAAAAGATTGCTTCATCACCGGTATGTTTTCAATTCTTTATAGATTGAACGTCTCCAGTACTTTTTTTATTGTATATTAAAAATAAATTTGTAAAGCCTCCTTCTTTGTTTAATCTTAGGTCTCAATGTAACACTACATTTTGAAACACAAAATTTTTATTCATCACTTATCCCATATTTTGCTCGTCACTGAGAACTTCTACAAATAACATCCCATTTGTTACGGGAATCAGATTAGTTATGAGATGGGGGATGAATATAGTTGTTTACTAGTTTGGTGTGAAATGATGGATAGTAAAATTGTATAGTTTTGAGCACACATAATTTATCAATTTCATCGTGCAAAGCTTTGAGAAGAAGATGTGGTTCTGAAAATGTGTATATACAGTTCTGAATTGTGTGTATATCGTTTAACTGGTTTCATCTTTTCTTGGTTTATCATTTATGTATTGTTTTTTGATTATTTGGTTTCTTTTTGGTTTTACTGGTTTCATCTTTTGTTTGTTTATGAATTGTTGTTTGAAATTTATTTGGTGTGTTTTTGGTTTTACTGGTTTCTACAGTTTTATAATCTCATTTTACTGATGAGCGTGTGTACATATAATCACATATAAGTGAATTTTTGGGAATAAAAGAAAATGTATCCTTGGAGATGGTGTTGTTCTCATTTTTTTCCGGATAGACTGGATAGTATGCTCTGGTTCCCTTCTTAGTAGATGGGGTTTAGGAGGTTAGGATGCTTTAGCTATATCTTCCCTGTCACCGTCTCCACTTTCCCTTTCTTAAATGATGTTTGTACAAATCTAAGAATGATTTGAAAGCAATGGTGTGCCTTCATTTTCGCACCTTTAATGCAAAAAAGACCAACTGTCCGGTTATTATCATGTTGTTCTTATACATTTTGAAGTTCTGTATGTGGAACTCTTCTGGTATTGACTTGTTTTAAAATCTCAGTAAGCTCTAAAATTTATGCAATTTGAGGGCACGATCTTAGTTTTTCTTTAAAAAAAAAATACTTCTTTGCCTGTTATGATATATGCTTGTTTTCCTTAAAAGGCTGCTAGTTCAAATCAAATGAGATTTAACATATACCATATGAGAGTGTATTGTAAATTTAACATTATTAATGAGTATGATGTTCCTCTAACTTACATACATTATAAATGGAGCAGGGCAAAGACATAAAGAAGGGCCAATACTTGAAGTGAAAAAGTCCAAGAAGTCCCTAAATGTAATTTGAATTACTCAATCAACTCCCTGTCTGATGTGCTCTGTTAGTTTATATCACGTATGAGGTGGAAAAGGAGGATTCTATATCCATTCCTATGGGTATTGCTAATGTTTCTATGTATAATCTTTTGGTAGTTGCGGTTTCTGCTATAAGTTTTACTTTTTTTGTTGTTGAAGGCTCCAGGAAACATTGTTTGGACAGACTCATACCTAAGAGAGAGGATCAGGGGAAAGCTGACCGTCAATGCAGCACTTTTCACCATGAAAAATGTTTATTTGCTTTGCTCAAGCAAAAAATGCAATCTTTAAGAGAACCCCTGGTACATACACTTCGTATAATGTTTCTGTTTCTGCACATTTAATATTCAAAAACCTGGTTTTTCTTTTCTTTCCACAACCGTACATTTTAGCCTTAAGGAAATATAGAGATCACATTTGAACTTCCTGCCTACAATATGGTTTCTGGTTTTGCACAGATAGTGAGACAAAAGAGTACTCCCATTTATATTGTCCCGGTTCCTATTTACTTGGTCAACACAAATCACTCCTAATTTCTTACTTTATATATAAAAAATTTATCAAATTTGATCCAGGTTTTTGCGACTTTGTAAAGCTTTAAATGTAGTTTCTGAATATAATTTTTTTTCCTAAAAATAATTTGAGTGCGGACAGGGATCTGTTTGCTTTATCGTCGGTCAAACATCGTAAACCGTAAAGAGACAATATAAATGGGACGGAGGTAGTAAGATATAATGAGCCGATTCAGTATCTCATTACGAAGGAGCTTTACGATAACAGTTTACTCATTTGTCTATAAGAAATACTGCTAAGTGCATTTTTTAGGCAAAAGAAAATGCACTTACCTACATGTGTAAGGCTTATATACTACAATACGATCCTATTTAATAATTAATTTTATTTGACAGTTGGGTGAGTTGCCAATGCATTTTGTGCGTCATTTGTCCATTCGGTGATCAAGCGTTTAAGGACACCAAGTAAATATTAGCGGTTTGATGCTTCGTGCAGTTTTCCTACTTTACTAATTACTATCTCCGTCCCGCTAAGATTGTCCCATTTTACCATTTCGGTCCGTCCCACTAAGATTGTCCCATACCTTATTTGGTAAAGTTTGTGTGACTCTAAATCATTCTTATTTTATTCTTACTTTATCAATTACATATCAACCACATAAACAACTCTTTATAGATTTGCGTGCCACTCTCTCTTATCCCATTGTTAGTGGGACGGAGGGAGTATATTTTATAATTGTTGGTTATTTTTTGTTCGGACTTCAGATACTATTATTTTGGATATTCATTATAATTTTACTCTGGAGTGTTCATTTAATGGTCTACATCTTACGTCTTTTTCTTCCATTTGTTCTATTTACAATTTCATTTTGTAGGCTTACAGCTAAGGAAAGAATTGGAAAGATGAAATTCTCAGTGAAGGCATGGAGCAACGGGAAAGCTCGTGCAGGGGTTTTGCAGTTGAGTAGCAGCCCATACTCCATCGAGACTCCGGCTCTCGTTCTCACCACTCGCAAAGGGCTGCCCGTTTTTATTCCTCCCGATCACCTCCCTTCCCTCCCTTTGCCGGACTCCAGCCTTCTTCAGGTTTGCCCGGTTCACTTCTTAGGATGTGTCTCTAACCAAACCATATCTGACAGTGGAGGACTGCACCAGATGCTCGGTTTACATGACCGGATATTCACAGCCGTTCCAAGGGACTCCATTATTTCCATACCTGAGTACATGAGTGCTAACAGGACTGGAGCTTCATTTGAAACTCCTTGCGGTCGTTGTTTGATAAAACCTGCCGAGTACATGAAAATGATTTCTTCTATGAGACCAAATATGTGGGCCACTTTATCTGATGAGGTGCCTGCTTGGGTTTCACAGAAGAGAAATAGAATATCTGTTGATCGCACTTTGAGATGGCTTGATGATTGTATCACTTTAAACCTGACAGACACAACCATTTTTGGTTCTATTGTTGGGGGCTCAAGCGTTGAAGAAAGACAGCGTTGTGCTCAAGAAGTTGCTAAGAGAAATGTTTCAGGTTATTGGATTGGTGGCTTTGGATTAGGAGAGAGTATGGATGAACGCACTGCCCTTCTTAGTGCTGTTACGGAATCGTTACCTGAGAATAAGCCACGACAGATATGTGGGCTTGAACTTCCAGAAGAGGTCTTGCAGGGAGTTGCAGCAGGCATTGATCTATTCGATTCCTCGTACATCTTTAACCTGACACACGGAGGTTTCGCACTCACTTTCCCACTTGATAGAACTGAGAGTCACTTGTCTGATTGTCAGCCATATAGTGACATAGGCTGTGACGGGACAAAGATCAACCTGAAATCAACCATGTACAGGAAAGATACGTCACCAATTGTTGACGGCTGTAGCTGTTTTACATGTCAAAGCCATACAAAGGCGTACATTAATCACCTGCTTATTGTTCATGAAATGTTGGCTCAGATCCTATTAGAAATACACAACACTCATCATTATCTACAATTCTTCCGCTCCATCAGAGAGTCAATTAAGGAAGGAACCTTTGAGCAATACCGGGAGAGGTTCATCATAAGTAGACGTACACATCTTTCCACTCTTTCTGCTTCAGCAAATTAAGTTCAAGTTATCTTTAGAATGTCCAGAAGCACACAAGATTGCTTTTTTCAGAGGAGTACTCTGATATTTTATCAACTTGATTAATGGCGGATATTCTAGATTTGACTAGTGTCACCTGTGACCTGTGTGGTGCACCGAACAATCATTTGTTCCTATTTCAATTCTTTCAATGGCTATTTATATGATTGTAAACATTTTAGCTTAATATAGAGCAATATCTAGAAGTTCTGCAGAAGCTGAATATAGAGCAATTGCTACTTCAGCTGCAGAAGTAAATCTGCTATAGCCTTGGCAGCTAATCCTATACATCACGAACAAACCAAACTTGTGGAAATAGATTTGCCACTTCATGCGAGTATGAATCCAATCTGGAGTTATACGTGCCATATATATGTTCCTACTACTCACCAGTAGGCGTAATAAACAAACATCCAACATGCATGACGATCATGCAAGTAGACCCATGCAGACGTGGAGTTGGATCAATCACGTAGTTACTAGAAGCTTCTCAGTTAATTAGCTTTGTTACAGTTAGTTAGCTTCTCAGTTTGTACAAACGTTCAATTCAAGCAACATGTAATAAAGGATTGAGTCAATTCCCTAAATAGGACTAAAAAGTGCAAAATTGCACAAATAGGACTACATTTTTTAAATTCCCTTAATAGGACTATTTATGTGTGTTTGGACAAATATACCCTTGTAACTTATGAAATGTTTTAATTAATAATAAAATCATAAAAAAATTAATAAAAATCGAAAAAAATACTAAAAATCTTTAAAAAAAATAATAGAAAATTAATAAAAAATATTTTTTAAAAAAATAAAAAAAATATTTTTTTTAAAAAAAAATAAAATAAAAATAAAAAAAATCATAAAATTAAAAAAAAACATTACCACCCCTGCCACCCCCCAGCACCACCAGCTCCCATCACCGGAGAAAAATATGCCAACATTTTAAATAATGCCATAATGATGACATATTTAATGAAAATGTTGGCATATTGAAGAGTAATTATGCCATCTTTTTGGCATTTTCAGAAAAATATGGCATTTTTTTACCAAAAGTGGAAGAAATTTCACCATTCGGAGGTGGTGGTGCTAGGAGGCGGCGGGAGGCGGTGGGAAAGGTATCCATAATTTTTTTCATTTGTTATGGATTTATACTATTTTTTATTATTTTTTTAAAAAAATTAAAAAAATAAAAAATTAAATTTTTTATTTTATAAATGGTTTATAAATTTTTTATAATTTTTTTTTACGTTTTTTAAATATTTTTTACGTTTTTTATGATTTTATTATGAATTAAAGCATTTCTTTATAAATTAATACTCTTAGGGGTATTTAGGGTAGAAAATCAGTGTTTAGTCCTATTTAGGGAATTTTAAAAGTAATAGTCCTATTTGTGCTTTTTAGGAACTCATTAGTCCTATTTAGGACAATTTCCGTAAAGGATTTTCAGTTCATCTTATTCTTCTTCTCTATGATTGTGAGCTTCATTTTCTTTCTTCTATAATTCATGCTTCTTAATCCCACGAAATCTCTCTCATATTTAATTCTCTATTATTAAAAAAAATTAAAAAATTCAGAATTTGAAAATTTACAATAATGTGAGCAATTTAACTATTTAACTATATTTTTATAAGAATAATTTATTAAAACATTAATAAATAAAACATTGTCAAAGTAGAATAAATGAATAGTGTAAAATATAACATGTGTCATTTATTTAAGAACCGAAGGAATACTAGGATATACGTAGTATATACTCCCTATAATATTAGACGTAGTATATACTCCCTATAATATTATTAATATTTAAAAGCCAATCGTTATAGGAAACGACGTGACACGACATTTATGAAACTAACTGTATTGATCCACATCTCATATTGATACAAAATGGATATGCTTGAATTCAATACTTCCTATGTAATATTCAGTACTACGTAATATTAACATTGCATGAAATCAATTCGTTTTTTAGGTCAAGCCAGCATATTTAGAGACATCCTTAACAATTTTTTCATTGTCTAGCGCGCGGAGCTAGACATTTAGGGTTAAAGGGGTCAATCCTTAACAATTTTACATTGCAGGAACCAAAGTGTAAAATATCAACATACTTTCTACAGATTAAAAGTATTTATACATAATATATACTTAATAATTTTTTTTCTTGCAAGGGTCGTGGCCACCTCCAGCCTCTCCCTGTCTCAACCCCTGCTGATCCCAGGCCATTTTCCAGTGCTGGAGCTTGGAGGGTGGAGTCGGCCCGCGACGGCAAAAGATAAAACATTTTTTTATGTTTCTGTTCTAAATGAAACGTGTCCCATGATTTTCTTCTTAAAAAATATACGAAGTACTACGTATATACTTCCTCCGTTCTTAAATAAATGCAACGGTCAACATTTCACACTTGCCGAGACACAACTTTGACCATTAATATAAATGATTTTGTATTAGTAAAAAATTTTAAAAAATTAGATTATGAAAATTTACAATGAGATAAGTTTAACAATATTTTTTTCATAAAATAATATTATTACATTAATAAATAAAACGTAGTCAAAGTAGAACATGTGAATAGTGTAAAAGTCAAAGTGTTGCATTTATTTAAGAACGGAGAATGGAAAGGCCCTCAGCTTGATTTGTTCTTCCGTAACATTATTTGGTTTCATACTAGTGCAAACTATATGAAACTCCGCAAGATGTTTGTTTGCATCCTCGCCCCTTAGGCCATGAAATGAAGGGAGTAGATGAATGAGGCCTGATTTGAGCTCAAATGTAGCACCTTCATCAAGAGTGGGGAAGGTGATACATAGAGGTTGTTGATTTAAGTTAGGAGCCGTGAGCTCCCTCAATGTTCTTGTTTCTTGAGCCATAGTGATTGGCTCTTCGTTCTCGCTAGAATAAGAACTAGCACTTGATGACTCCTCCGAAGAAGTATTCGGAAATAAATTCCTAAACCTCTCGAAGGCTTGTTCTGTTTCGGGGTTTGTTTGGTAGGTGATTTGGTTTATAGATCGGTGTTTAACCATATACTCAAACAAAGCTCAGAAGAATAGAAATCTCTATATTTAGGTAATATTTTTTTTTCCTTTTTCTTAAAATAAAATAAAAAGAAAAATAAATTGCCTTTCCCCGGCAACGGCGCCAAATTTGACGTGCACTTTGTCGTGAGTGCGTCAAAATAATATTCAATACTAGCACTAATACGTAGTATAGCGTAGTAAGGTTCGTATCCGCAGGGAAAGGAATATTTCTCTTTTTATAGAACTAATAATAAAAAGGGGGGGTTTAGTTTGATTTGGTTTAATTAATTAAACACGAAGATAAATGAATTATGCGGTTTAATTCAAAGATAAAAGGGACTTGGCATTGCTACTTTCCACTTGTTGATATATTTTAGTCGATCATTGTTATATCTATAACTTATCTCCTCTCGAATACTCAATCGAGGAGTATATCCAATTCATCGAGGATAGTTATTAACAACGACCGTTCATTAATAACCCTTACTATTAGCCAAGTATAGAACACCGCCATATACCGACTTGATAGTAGCATTTAATCGTTTAACTCCTTGATGAAATCAATTGAGATTGATAACCTCAACACAACGGTTTCGGTTTAACCAATAAAATTAATCCCTCTTAAGTTTATTAACCACGACCGTGCATTAATAAACCGAAGTTACTTACTTGTGAAACCATCAACGATTAACCATTGGTTCGTTGATCGTCTCTAGTAGTAATTAATGTCGAGATGTTAACTAATTGTCATCTTAGCAACACTCCCCAACATTAATATAGAGATAGATTAAGGGAAGAATTAATACTCAAGGAAGAATATTAAAGAAGATGAATTCTACTATAATTAATATCAAGATGTTAACTAATTGTCATCTTAGTAACACTCCCCAATATTAACATAGAGGAAGGAATAGCTATTACTAAGACCAATGTCAAGATGTTAACTAATTGTCATCTTAGCAACACTCCCCAACATTGATATAGAAATAGTATTTAAGAGAAGCATTAATATTCAAGGAAAGAAGTTAAGAAAATAACTCACAACTTTAATAATCAACAAGCTTCAAGAGCAACACCAAGAAATGGAAGTTTAGCTCCTCATTTGGAGACTAAACATGCTATAAAAATATAAAAGAAATACTATTCTAAACTGAGCTTAAGAGTATGGAAGAAGGAGTGATTCTTTGTGAAGGAAAATGGGGTTATTTATAGGTGTTTTTCAACACCTTGGGCCGGGTACCCGACCGGGTTAGGTGCTTACCCGACCGGGTCCGGTCAAAATCAGATATCCTCCACGTTCTGGCGATCTTCGGCACGTTCTGGTGTCCCGGGTCAAGTCTGACCCGACCGGGTCAAGTAGGGGACCCGACCGGGTCTGATGATTTTCCAGGCAGTTTCGGATTTTACATCAGACCCGACCGGGTACATGGTCTAACCCGACCGGGTTTGTGCTCCTGGGCACACTTATCACCTTTTTCTTCACTTCAAACTCTTCCTTTCCAACACCATAAATACTAACTCTACTTTCCAACTTACAAATGAAGATTAAAATACAATTACAACTAAAATCACATAAATGTTTACAAACTAAATAAAACGATAAACAATACACACAAATCAAACATAAAAACATACACTTATGCACTACTAATTAGTGCATATCAAATACCCCCACACTTGAACCTTTACTCGTCTCGAGTAAACCAAAAAAATATCCCCAAAAATATAAGAGTAAAGAGGGGTCTTCAACTCCATATTTCTTATCAACCTCATTTTTTTATCATTACCCTTAGGATCCTGCAGAAATAAAAGAAAATATTTTCTCTCATTCTCTCATTTTGCCTAGGTGCCCTTTCGGGTTTTCATCCCAGCTTCCCACATTTTTCTGTTTTAATCCTCACAACTCACTCTTTATTTTTGCTTTATTTTTGCTTAAGTTGCCTTTTCAGGTTTTCAACTTAACAAGCTTTTTTTTTTTTTTTCTTTCTTTCTTTCTTTTTTTTTTTTTGAAAATAACTCAAGAATACAGAGTATGAATGTGAGTTTTCCATGAAATTCTCCCCCAAGCTAATCAAAGCACTGTCCCTAGTGCTGGTGTCCGAGGTGTCCAAGAGAGTGAATCTCTTTGCCCTTTTTGGTGTCATTTCTTTCTTTTTGGTTGAGGAAATTTCAACTTTTGTTG